GGTGTGGCCCTGCCTTGGGTAGGGGTGGGCCTGCAAACGGGCCCCATGAAGGGGACCTGGTGCTGCGGGTCTCCCCATGACAGGAAGAGGCCCTTCCTCCCACTCGCTCCACGAGGGGAAACTGCCACCAGTTGGATTTGGGGAGGGTTGGGGCTGTTTTTTTTTTAAATTTGTTATTCTTCAAAAGGGGTCCTGAGAAGGCCAAAGGCGTGGCTGCTGGGCCAAGCGCTGGCCCGAGGTGGCCACAGCGCATAAATAAAACCTGGTTTCTTGTCTGTGTGCATAACTTCCAGAGAGACAAAGCGGCCGAGGCGAAGACCAGAGGTGGCCGTTCCTGCAGAGGGCGAGGTGGCTTTAAAACACCTCCAGCACCTTACTTTTACGAGTTTTGAGCTCAAGCGGAAACGCTGCTCCGTGCGTGCGAGCTGTTGCGTTTAGAAAAAAAACAAACAAACAAACAAACAAACTCGTGAACTGGCAAGCTTGGACCTAGCCAACCTTTTGGCTGAGGTCGACTTGTTCCATTTCCACCCAACTCATGAAAAATCTCGGCCCAACTGGAACAAGCTGAGAGTTCGCAGGATTTTTTAATAGAGGCACTGAGCAAGTCGTCAGATCGATTTGGCTTGCGATCACATTATGAAATGAATACAGAAAATGGTCAAGTCAAATCCGAAGCTTGCAGCCGTAAGGAGGTATCCATCTGTTTCACTCTGAGTCCTAGTTCCAGGATACTGCTCATGGCAAGGTAATCCACTGAACAGGTGAATGCTTTTGTTTAGAAACTAGCCTTCCCTCCTCTTCTCTCTGATCTTTCTGCTTTTGACACAGTAGCGCTCAACAACTCTCGCTTCCCCTTTGAGTCATCCAACTGACAAGCTACGCAGCCCTCAAAAATTGGTTTAAAAGGGATTCATTTGGAATTTGAGTTCAGGAAATAAGTGCCAGTGCTTTCATTCTGGTGACATGCGTGCTTAAATGTATGAATGTGCATGCACTTCCCTCAAAAAGCAGCTGTGGAAAAATATAGTGATAAGAGGATATTTGTACCTGATGACAAAATAAAAAGAAAGAAAAATAAAACTGAAAGCAAAAGAAATAGTCTTTCTTGCCCTGCTTGCCCTGTCTTTAAAGTTCAGATTATGGTACAGAACATCTGGGGATGTTGTCTCCAACTGATGCTCATGGTCATCTGAGCACTTCAGCTGGTATAGGCTGTTATGGTCTTTGTCTCCTTTGCATAGTTCCTGAGCATGTGGTCTTATGCATTTTCCTTAACCTCTGAAGTTGGAATTGCAGCTTGTTCTGCCCTGTGGCTCTTCCCTGAGGTATTCAGAGGCAATAATGTGGTTCAGCAAGCTTTGCTCCCAATTGAGATTTCCAGAACACTCTCTTACAACATCTGTTACAACTGCAGGCTTTGTGTACTTTAAAAAAACCCCAGCAACAACAAAAACTGGTTATGTAAAATGCAGACCTTAACCAAGCAGGCTGGGCTTCTCCTCCAGGGTAGCTGTTTGAAGATGCTGGTGATACCAAGTTCTTAAGACCCTGACATATTCATAGCTACAATTAAACAGCCATTCTTCACCCACATGATCTCATGTCATCTGAACTTTTTTTCAAAATAAGTCTTGGCAGGTCTTTGAATCATCCATTGTCCCTTTACTAAGAGAGAATTGGGGACCTACCTGCTCATTGGTTTAACTAGTGAAGACTTGTTTTCCTTTCATCAATGTGACCTCAGAGGCAGGATTTATATCAAGATGTAAGAGACCTGCATAAGATAATGAACAGTTAAATTGAACCAAAGCTCAACTTACTCAGGCCTATTAGTCTCTCACAAAAATGTCAGTTCAAGTTTAATTATAGCACAATTGTTTGGCTTGTTGCCCACTTCTGTAATCTAGTTTGCTTTAAAAGGTTGTAAAAGACTATCAACATTTAGGCCTCTAAGGCTCAGGCAAAAATATATGCACTTTAGAGATGACATCTATATTATAAAAATGGTGGAGGGGGTTGCTTTTTTTTTTTTTTTAAATAATGAGATGTTTGCAGGTTGTCTGTTGACCGAAACTGCACCCCTGCCTAACTGGAAGATCAGGTGGCTTTTATGCTAGTACTTGCTTATGATTCAACCAAGACTTAAACTATTATTTTCAGGCCTGAGCAGAGAAGATGGAGGGATGGTTCCAAATCAAATCTGAAAAGATTCAAGCCATCTCATTAGCAGTGTTTCTCAGTGGCTTTTACACAAGTATCGTTTTTCTGGCATAAGGGTTACTGAGTCTCAGGAGATAAACAGAAAGCCACAGCAAGTTGCAAACTAGTTTTTCCTCTACTAAAAACTTTTGCAGATAATTTTTAAACTTTTACTCTATCTGCAAAGGAGCTTTCATTTTATCTAATTTCCACTGATTATCAGTTAACTTTGAGCCTTGTATTCTCTGCAGTTTTGCAGCTGTAGAAATTTTTTAACATTTTATTCAACTTCTGAAGTAATTTCTGCCTCCACAGAAATGTTTTCACTTTGAGCACAGACTATAAGTCTTCCATTTTTTTTCTCATTTCCTGGAGATTGGTTTATATTTAAAAAGATAATCTGCATTTTAAAAAGTCAGAGAGTTATGTAAACACTGAAAATTGAAGCCTGTTTGTGTTTCTGCCTCTGTCATAATTTGCTCAAGGTTATTAGCAGCCTGAAAAAAGGAGTGAACATGGGCTTTCCCAGATTACTTCAAGATGCCAAGCATCAGAGTTAGGAATAAGTGGAGCCATTAACAAGAGGTCCAAAGTCAGTTAAGTCTATTTGAACCTCTTCGATTAATAATTTTCTGTATGTTTACTTATGAAACATGACCAGTATTTTCCAAAAAAAAAAAAAAAATCAAGTAATATATATTTGACATGTAAGCATGTGGAGTATAGGGTACAAAATTGACCTACATAAATGTGATGTATCATCTGTTTCTTTTGTTTTCAAAGAAGTGTATCGAAGACAACAATGGAGCGATTTGGAGTGAAAACTACCCCTTCTCGTAACCGATCTAAGACTGCTTTATACGTGACTCCTCAGGATCGTGTAACAGAATTTGGCAGTGACTTGCATGAAGAGGGAGGGAAACTGTTCTGCACTTCCTGCAATGTGGTTTTGAATCACGTTCGCAAGTCAGCAATCAACGACCACCTCAAGTCCAAAACTCATACAAAGCGAAAGGCAGAGTTTGAAGAGCAGAATACAAGGAAGAAACAGAGGACTCTGACTGCTTCTCTCCAGTGCAACAGTACTTCTCAGACAGAGAAAACCAGCGTCATCCAGGACTTTGTGAAAATGTGCC